AAAAAAAAAAAAAAATTCTGGGCCGGCCCGGTGGCACACTGCTACAGTGCGCCGCTTGGGAGCGCGGCGGCGCTCCCGCCGAGGGTTCGGATCCAACATACAGACCAGTTCCCGCTCACTGGCTGAGCGAGGTGCGGGCGCAGCACCGAGGGTTGCGATCCCGTTGCCGGTCCCGGTCCGGTACGGGCGCGACACTGAGGGTTGCGATCCGTTGCCGGACACGAAAAAAGACAAAAAGGAAAATAAATAAATAAATAAATAAATAAAAATAAATCCAGGAAAATTTAAAGATCTAAATTTTTTAACCTAGAAAAATACTAGAGAAAAATATAAAAGCATACTTCAAAAATCTTGGGGTGTGTCAGAGACACAAAGGTCACATATTGTATGATCCCATTTTTAGGAAATGTCTAGCCTAGAATAAGCAAATCCATAGAGACAGAAAGTAGATTAGTGGTTGCCAGGGATAGGGGGTGAGGGGAAAAGGGAGTGACTACTTACAGGTATGGGATTTCTTTTTGGGATGATGAAAATGTTCTGAAATTAGATAGTGGTGCATGACTGCATAACTTTGTGAATATCTGAATCACACACTTTAAAAAGGTGAATTTTATGGTATGTGAATTATACCTCAATAAAATGAATAAATAAAATCTTAGGGGAGGAGAGGTCTGACCAAAAAAGTTAGGAGACAAAAAATAACAAGACTGAATTGACTACACGCAAATTTTGAACATCTAAATAGCAAAAAGAGGGACTGGCCAGATAACTCACATGGTAGAGGTAGAGTGTGGTGCTGATAACACCAAGTTCAAGGGTTTATATTCTAATACTGGCCAGCCACCATAGATGGATAGATAGTACATAGATTGATAGCAAAAAGAACCTATTAAAGTTTAAAAAGAGAAACCAAATAAAAAGTGTACACACCCACCCACCACCTACAATTAAATGGAATAATCAGCAATTCACTGAGGACACACAAATTACCAATAAACATTTCAAAGATAGAATTATTAAAATATAAATAATGAATTTATAGTAGCTTTTTATTTCTATTTTCCCAAGAAAGAGAAACAAACAACACAAACTATTTTGAAGGGCTCCAAAACAATCTAACATGAAAAATGCGTCCTCATCATGGAAAAGTAGGGATATGGACCTAAGTGGAGTACCACAGAATCACAGACTTTCAAGGATTACCTAGTTTTCTTATTTACTCTTCAACGCATAAATTCCCTATCCAATATTTAAGTATTAAATCATTATTCAGCTGATTTTTTGAACATCTCTATCCACAAGCAAGTCATGCAGGAGCTCATTTCATGTTCAGTCAGCTAAGAGTACTCCAAAGCAGCAAAAAAGAAAAAATGTATTAGCAAAACAAACTGCATTTTAAAATTCAAATGACAATGAAATTAATACTCAGCTCTTATTTTTAAAAAATTATAAGAGCTTCTTAGAATTACCATTTGTTATAGTGCCAATTTCACTACAGATGATATGTGTGATAGCCTCCCATCCTAATAAAATTCTGTGAAAATGGTTCTAAAACACGTACAATGAGTTCCTAAATAATTTCAGTAGCACCAAGTGGGCAAACACCTAAGTACATGCAAATGACACATTATAAAAGTAATAAAGTATAGTAAGGCAACCTTTGCAGTCAGTGCATAGTAAAGAAACTATGCATAACACTAATAGAAGTATCATTTAGTCTTCACTGGTAAAAGAATGAAATTAAGGGATTGTTTTAAATCTCTGATCATCTATTGAAATTATCCCTCCTCCAAATAAAATTATATATGAGTATGTCTCTGCTAAGGCCAGCAAACAAAGAGATCTAAAATGACTATAATTAAAATGGTCCTCTAAAATAGTTTGCTCAAAGAATCATAAGCCTTGAGTAAAACTGCTTCACATCCAGACATAATGGAAATAATTTTGCACTGCTTACCTTATTCATGTTGTTTTCATCAACCACATCCTTGGATATATCCTGGATTATTTCTGGACACAAAATAAGGAGAATGATTTGTAGTGGCCAAACTGCTGCTTTACGTTTGGTGCTTTCAGCAAAACCATCCACCAAGTCAAAGAGCTTTTCTGCACATTCTATGTGAAAAATATAAATATTAAATGACATTATTAGATGAGAAGAAAATCCATGGCATTACATTAAAAGCTGGCAATACCCCAAAATCCAAAGGCCACATTTTTAAAAGATAAACTTGGAAGTTCACTTAAACAGCTACAAAAAACTCATTCAGATAAAAAGACAATAAATGTCAGCTTGTCTATGTGTTAGAAGAGCTATCATGATCCTGGAAAAGCTCACACTTTAGAATGGCCAATCTTGGTCTCAACATACAGGGCCTGAGGCAAAGTGTAATATACCCAAGCAACCCACAGTCTGGATCCCAAAGAGAATCACCAAAGTTCTCCAGGAGTCTGTATTCTCTGCCGTGAAGTTATGTCCCAAGAATCCTTACATCATAGGTAAGAATATTACTATTTAACACACATCTCCCTAAATACAAAATAAAGCCTCAGAGCACAAAAAGTGCTTCTCTACAACAAAGAACCATCAAATATCCAATCACAACTCTAAAGATTACAGTTTCACTTCAAACATCTTTATTTGCTCAAAGGAAAGGAAAAAAAGGGTTGAGGGTAACTTAGAAATGAGCGAAAAATAGTACTTCCTTTTCGACACCAGTTGACAATAAAAGATGTAAAAGCACCTTTATAACAAAAATAATTTGGAAAGTGATAAGTTTTTACCTCATAAGTAAGAGACAAACCAATCTTATCCTTACCAGCCATATCAGTCTGTGGAATCTGGTATAGCTTTGTAAATTCATCTGGATAATTTTCTACCCAGTTCCAAAATGCCTTCAAATAACAAAACACATGTCTTTATATTAAAGCAGTAATCTTTTCTTAATATAGTAAATACAACGTCACAAACTTCTAATTTCCTTCATAAGAATATTACAATGCATTCTTCCTAAAAATTAATGTGAAACTATCACTCAAGTCACAACTTTTTGATTAAAAATATTAAAGATGGTAAAATTTATAACCAAAAAACAAAACTTTAGTACCAAAGAGGTTGTAACTTACCTTTTCCAGGCTATTTATAACCGCTAACTGTGCAACCTTCTTTAGAGCTTTAAATTTAAATGCTGTTTCTGTGGGGAAAAAAAATTTTTTTTAATTAACTCTAGATTAAGAAGTTAACACAAATACAGCTCAGAGCTACTAGCAAAAAGAACTTTCCTTTTACACACTTTTTTTCCCCAGTATTATCTGTAAGCAACATAATGGTAAAGATAATTAATATCAACCCAAAGCTCTCTAGTTATGTCTGCTAAAGACGAAATTCAATAAGAGACAAACATGCCTTGAACTTGTTAAAGGTTGTGAGTTTTTTCCTTTGTAATAACTTGCTTTTTCAGAAGTATAAAACACAAGTTCATTGTAGAAAGTTCAAAAAATACACAACAGTCAAAAGGAAATTTAGGACCGGCCCAGTGGCTACCTCGGGGGAGTGCGGCGTTATCAGCGCCGAGGCTGGGGATTTGGATCCTATATAGGGATGGCCGGTGCGCTCACTGGCTGAGCGTGGTTCAAGCAACACCATGCTGAGGGTTGCGATCCCTTTACCAGTCAAAATAAATAAATAAATAAAGGAAATTTAAAACATTATTCATGATTCTACCATTCAGAGACAATCCCAATTAACAGTTTGGTGAATTTTCTTCCATCCTTTTTCCTATGCATTTGTAAGACATATATATTTAACATAACTGAAATTATATAGGCTATACCAAACCTGTTTTATTATTATTATTATTATTATTACATTTATTTATTTATTTTTACATTCTATGATGTTGAGGAGCTGTTGTGGGGAGGGGAGAGGGGATAAAGGAAGGAAATAGGGTGGGAGAAGGAGGAAGGAGGGGGGGTGGGGTTGAGGCCTGTAGGGACCCCCTGAGGGGAGAATAGGAGGCTTCCAGCAGTGGCTTGGTCACTGCTGGGCTGGGTGCAGATGTCGGGGGTGGGGGTCTGGCCGAAGTGCTCAGCCCCCCAACACACCAGCTTGGGAACCTGGGGTGCTTCCTGCAGTGGCTCAGTCATTGCTGGGCTGGTTATGGGTATCAGGGGGGTGTGAGCAAGGCCCCCAGCCCTCCCCCGTTCCTGGCTTTGGAGCCCAGGGGGCTTCTGATCCTTCTAGGTTTTGTAGGTGTTCTTTGATGTGAGACCTTTACTAGTTAACATCAGATTTGGTCTCTCGCAAACCTGTTCTTTCACTTTACATAGTATCCCAAATTTTTTCTATATCATTAAAAATTCTTAATGCATATTTTTCGATGGCTCTATATACAACAGTAACTATTACTTGAATAATACAACATGCCAGGTATTTTCAGTATGATATATTCAATTCTTTCAAAATCTTAATGCTTTCAGAATATTACAAATGAACAAATTGTGTGTCTAAGATTACAGACCTAATAAATGACTGAATTGGGCTTCAAAGGCATAGTCTTTTCAGTATGCTTTGACATCTCAGAATATTTAAGTCACTATATTAACTGGTTATTTAAACGTTTTCCAGTTGTACATTTATTTCCAACATTTCACTATTATAAACAACATAAATAAATACATTTATATCCAAATCTTTTTCCACATTACTGATTATTTCTTCAAGATAAGCAAATATCTAGAAGAAGAAACCTCTGGTCAAAAAGATGAATATTTTTTAAGGCCCTTAATAACCTGTTTTTCAGAATGGTTAGGTCAAATGCCACATATGAAAATGCCTTTATCACATCCTCACCATCATTAAGCATGTTCTCTTTTAATTTTGCTAATTTGATTGTTCAAAATAGTGTATTGCATTTCAGCACAATATTAAACATTTCCCCATATAAGTATATTAGTTTAATTTCTTCTTCTATAAATGTATTATCCACATCTAGAAAGATTTATATCTGGAAAAGATGACCCTTTATAAACTATTTTACTAATAATGGTACCCTGGCAAAGAACTCTGCCTATGGACTTTTAATGAAGGGATTCAGGTTTTTAATTACATTTGTATAAGAATCTTTGTAAGACAGAGATGAGTCCTCGAGTAATAAAAGTAATTATCTAAAGACTTTTTAAATTGTGAATTTCTTTTTCTGGACTTGCAAATGAGTAACTTGCTTCCCAAATCAGTTATAAAATGTACCCCTTGAATTTTCTTTGCTCTTGCTCTCCTGATTTCCAAATAATGGCATTACACTCCACAGTGTTCTTTACCACTTTTGCCTTTCTATGTTCATCAGCTTTTCCTCTGTGACATCTTAAATTTGTTATATGCAGTAATCTATTCTCAATTCCAATGTATGTATCTTTCATTACTTTCAGCTCTATAAGTTTCTTTCTTTTTTGTTTTTATTTTTTTAAAGATGACTGGCAAGGGGATCTTAACCCTTGACTTGGTGTTGTCAGCACCACACTCTCCCAAGTTGAGCTAACCGGCCGTCCCTATGTAGGGATCCAAACCCGTGGCCTTGGTGTTATCAGCATCACATTCTCCCAAGTGAGCCATGGGCCGGCTGTCATTTCTATAAGTTTCTGACTGGACATCCTACCAATACCTCAAACTCAGTAGATCTGAAACTGCTTTCACCATTTTCTTGAACTCCTTCCTCCTTCTCTGCCATTATCCCTTCCTCCCCTTTTGTGCTTTAACTAGCTAGTTCTGTAATACTTAGTGATACCTCTCCAAACTCATATATCTAAATAGATTATCAATGCTATATATTCTACCAAATTGGTCCCCACCTCTTTTCATCCAGACCTCCATTACCCTCATTATTTCTCACTCACATTACTACACAACCACGTCCCAGAAGTTCATGCAGCCCTCTACCAAGCCATCCTGCAAATCTCAAGTAAAGTGGTGTATCAGAAATAAAATACTGATCAAGGAACTTCTCACCTTAAAATCCTCCCATCACTTCCCATGACCACTAAAATAAAAACTTCATAACCTACAAGCACAGTAGTGCAGCAGTTAGGCACTTTGGTTCTAGAGATGGGCAGAATGTGAACTGAATCTTTACCCTGACAATTACTAGCTCTGTGACCTTAGAAATGTTACTTAAGCCTCAGTTTCCTCCTCTATACAGAGGATGATAATACTAGTATTGCTCTACTACAGGGTTACAGTAAGGATTGACCAAAAAAAGGCATGTAAATTGCATACCACAATGTCTGGCACAAACTGAAAATGCAACAAATGTTACTATATTAATATGACCTGATCTACTTTTGTACCTTCATATTTTGCACTTTGCTTTTTCACATCTCCCATCCCAAATAAATACATACTTCCTCTCTCATTTTATACTCACCCTACTTGAGTTTACCATATTGTTTTTCAAGTAATTTGATAATACATTTGTCTCATGAACCATGCTATGAGCTCCCGAGGGACAATCCAATATTATATTAATCTTTGTAATCCTAGCTCTTAGCATGGTTTCTTGCCCATAGTTTCTCAACAAATGCTTGCTGTATTAAATTTAAAACACATTATTACTTTTACTACTCATTATAGTAAATAATAATTATTATTTTTACTACTCATTATATTACTTTTATCATTGTCACCTACAGCCATCTTTTGCTGGTTTATTTAATACTGGCTTTATACTTTATATGTGTATCAATGTATATGCTAAATTTGTGTTCAGGAGGGAGCTGAATGGGAAAAAGCTACCTCAATATAAAAGAAAGTCATTTATCTACACATTTAGTTAGTTTCTCTTATATGGGCATGAAGAACCATCTCAATTAATTATTATAGATTGAACATTTCTAAGAAAACTGTTGTTTTTAAACAAACACATATTTGTGGGCAACCTAAACTAGATTTATTTCTAAAATGTTATTAATAGTTATGAAAATCATAAAACCCCACTTATAATTCATAGAGGAGATCTCTAAATTTTACCATTCAGTTTCAAACTGCTTGAGGTTTAATGATAGATAATAAAATCTTGCAAATTTTAACTATGAACTGAATGGCAGTTTATTATAACCTAAAATAACTGCTGTCTACGTGTTCATGTCTTGGCATAATAATAACTAATTTTTTCCCTTTATTTAAGTTTCTGAAAACTGATTTAATCGTTACTTCATTTCACAATGGTAATGACATAAAACCATGAATTCTGAACAAGGGTAATATAGATAGAACACAGCCTTATATTATTCATGCATATAGATATAGCCTTTTTACATCTCTGGTGAAATAGTTATTGAGTTTAAAGTGAATGTAAAGAAAACAAAACAAGGTATTTTCAAAATTATATTGCAGAAATGTTGAAGTTTTCAAAGCTAATATAACTCAAACTCCTTTTAGGTCAGACATTAAAAACATTATTGTTTGACAATTTCTTAATCAAGATACAATGTAAAAATTAGTGTGAACTGTATACTATAAGTTTTTATGTTTAAATTAGCCAGAATCCACTAATACCTAAAACTAAAAAAAAAATTTTTGTAAAGTGAAATTTAGGTATTCATATTGAGTTGATAAATAGTACTCATTGAACTTTGACTTATATTAACACTTCACTGCTTACCACAGAAATTCTCTCAATTCTTTCTAATAATTTATTTCATGCAATATAATCAGATAAAGCACTTCCCAAAGCTTTAAAATCATACAGTACGTGTTAGTCACAATATCCCCATGTGGGAATACTACTGATATGTTCTGCAGGGAAGCAAAACTAGGCACAGAAAGGTTAAGAGACTTTAAAATGCTATAAAGCCAGTCGGTAAGTCAGTAAGAGAGCTGAAAATAGAAATGTCAGAAATGAGATCCCTGGCTAACTCCTCCTCTCTCAATAAGTCCACGATCTCCTGGTTCCGTTTTGCAATGAAATTTTGATATCTGCTAAAGACTATCTTCTTTAAGCACTACAATAACTAAACATAATTTCTATAACCTATAGCCATCCTTAAGAGATCGAATTCCAGAAAAACTTAATAACAGCACCCTTAGGTTCTCTTTAATAAAAACAAAAATTGAGTTGAACAAAATTTCCCACTGCCAAGATTTAAGGTACTCATTTCCTCTACTGTATTATTTTCAATGGTTCAAAAATTACTGAACCATATGTATTATTTGCCACTTCACACGGACATTTGCATTATAAAATGCACTTTGATGTTCTAGTTCAACACAATTAGTACAATTTGAACATTCATAATACTGGTTTTTGACCCAGTGATTACTTTCATGTATATCATACATTTAAACTTACCCTTCAGCAGTCGTTTTAATTTTGCACAATCCACATTGATATACTGTAACAATTCTATATCATGAACATCAACATTGTCTTCTGAACAAACAGTCAATTCCTGTAACCTGAAAAGTAAAAACCAAAAATAATATGTCAATTCAAGTCTTAGGATATTCCAGACTTTTGAATTCAACAGATTCTTTCCCCAAATGATGAGTTTATAAGAGTAAAGACACACATAAAAAATACAGGAATAAATTTCTTATAAAAATCTAAATGAACATAATTGAAGGAATATGATGAAAAAAACCATGATAATCCAGTAAACTTAATATCTCTATCCTTAAGACTGAGGTATCTAAACAACATTTCTCACTTTCAGCCAGGTCCGTTTGGAAAAATTAGTTAATTTCAGGATTAAGGCAGGAGATACAGGAGATGAGCCTAGGTCACCTGGAGCTTGAAAACAAAGAAACTATCAACAGTGAGAGTCATATCAAAAAATCACACAGGTGTACATTTAAAGGAGCTCCAACTGTCAAAAATGGGCATGAAAAGAATTATGTCAACAACAACTGAAATACATACAATAAATAAAAATCCATGAGTCTGTAGTAACACTGAAACAAACAAACAAACAAACAACTACTCCTGGGTAACCTTTCTCAGGATATCAACTCATTCTGAAAATGAATAATCAGAAAGAGTCAAGTCTCTATCCTGCACTCCCTATCTGGACTGTACAGCAAGATAACTGAATAAATAATGAAGCAAATATACTTTATAAGAACCACAACTTTAAAATAATTAATGAATGACAATAGAAAAGTTATCATTTGCAGCCCCCAATGAAATAATGGATACAGGCAATGATCATCAGTGGCTACTAAAAATATTAGGTAAAAATTTTACAGTGAATGGATAATGCTGATAACATCTAAATGTAACAATCAATCATAAGACTAAAAGTGGAATAACAGGACATGTTTACTGATGTGATGCAATAGGAACTACAAAGCACCATCTGTATTCTTGCCCTGCTCCCCCCAGCCAAATGAACCTGAACGCAGTCAAATCTAGCCAAATAAAGAATGTAGAAATTTTTATAAGGTAAACAATCCAGTTCAACAAATAAACAGAATGAAAAAAAAAATGGGGAGGTGGGTAGAAAAACGAAGAAATGATATAAAGAGAAGCTCAGGCGAAATATCAACCAATTACAGGTATGTATTTCGTTTGTATTCTGATTTAAACAAATCAAATGAAAAAGCCATTTTTGAGATAATGAGGGAAAATTAAACACAATAGATATTAAAGGATAACAATTTTTGCTATTATAGTAACAGTATATAGTTAAATTTTTAAAAATCTACTTATTAGAGATACATACTGAAATATTTTCAGGTGAAATGCTATGTCTGGGGTTTGCTTTAAAGTACTGAAAAGTGGGAAAAGATAAATCAAGAATCACAGCATGCTGACTGAAACAGCTTCACAGTCCAAACAAGTAGGAGATACACGGAGATCAAAAATACTATTTTCTCTGCTATGTGTATGTAAACATTTTTACCCACAATGAAAAGTTTTAAAAATTCATACTTCAAATTATAAGTAAAATAAAGCTTAATTTTATGAACTTCTGTTCATATCAACTAGACTTCAGAAACATAAGTGATACCTGATCTCTAGTCACAGGGTACATTTACTTTATATTAGAAAAATGAGTAAGCCTTTTTTCATTGTACTTTTCACAGTCTGTACATGTGTTTCTATGATCATTTGATTAATATCCCTGCTTCACAGTAGAACATAAGCTTATAAGGACAGGAATCTTTTTAATCCCAAAACTTCCCTTATGTTGAATATGAAGTTTTCACAAACGTAGAAAAATATAACACTTAACAAAACTGTAGATATTTTAAAACTGATAAATTCACTAAAGCCTAAATAAAAGGCATTAAACTTTTCTTCCATTTTTCACTAACAACCACAGGGGTCAAAGTTGCTATCACTCCCGTATTAAATTGTGCTACCTCATGAGGCATACTGATCTGTTTCAGTTAATAGACATTAAAAATATGAGCAGCACGATGGAATTTTTAAAATGCAGTGAGAGAAAGATATGGTAAAAAGGCACAAATACTATATGATCTTATTCATAACACTGAATTTTAACCACTTTAGTGAAGTTTAAAACTCACTTATTAATCATCACACTAAACATTCAGTTTATAAAAATGCAATCAACCCTACGTCTTCCTCCTCAGAATCTCCTTTCACTCACTTTAACTAACACTAAAATTTTTCTCAGCACTTACACTAAAGCTCCTCATACCATCAGGGTGAGAAAAGCTTAGCAGTTCAAGTTGAGAATGAGAAGGTCCTCAATACTGCTTCACATGCTAAAAGTTCCACAGCTGCTGCTAAGAGCCTAGAAACATGGAATGTGACTCCTTAGGAAGCAACATTAGCAACACCAACTTTTGAAAAGCTGGCTCTTATGGTTGTTTGTGAAAAATGGAAGAAAAGTTAACCTCTTTTATTTATTTATTTTTTTTGTCTTTTTCCATGTCCGGCAACGGATCACAACCCTCAGTGTTGCCCCCGGACCGGACCGGGACCGGCAACAGGATCGCAGCCCTCGGTGTTGCTCCCGCGCCTCACTCAGCCAGTGAGCGGAACCGGTCTGTATGTGGGATCCGAACCCTCGGCAGGAGCGCCGCCACACTTCCCAAGCGGTGCACTATAGCAGTGCGCCACCGGGCCGGCCCAAGTTAACCTCTTTTATAACCCAGTTGTTGCTAAAGGGAAGAGGTATTTTATGAAGCTTAAACATTATTTCTGAAGAAGAGAAATCAAATAAGGGGTAGTGTGAGCAAAAGAAATGAAGTGTGGAAAATCTATCCCTAAAACATCTAGATAGACTAGGTATATTGACCAACAACAGAAAGATATTTTAAATGTATAGAAATAAAATGAAACACCACCCACTCACCCAGGTCCAGGTCCAGGAATGAAGACAAACTGAAAACCAAAGAGTTAATTGCATGACCTGGTCCTGCAACAAAGGAAGGGTAAGGAAGGTTTTCAATCTTCTTAATCTAGAAATTTGGGGCTTAAAATCCACATGGGGACTGGATATAAAGCACTGTACCCTAATAATGCAGAGATCAGAACTGGGGCCCTGCATAAAAGATGAACTAGAAAGAACTATGCACTTCCTAAATAAATAAGAAAAAAATCTACCAGCACAAAGTTGTTTAATCTGCTCTGCCTAAGCTTTGGGTAGGGGAAAAAAGCCACCCAGAGCTGTTACTTTATAAAAGTTTAGGATCCAAATTTATACTAGCTATACAGTCTAGAGCTGAGAAATTAACAACAACAACAACAACAACAAAATAGTTCCAGAGCTGCACACTGGCAAAAGCAAATGCAAAACCATCACTAGAACACTCCCACAGTGCAAAGCTGTAAGAGATTCCCCCCAAAAATACAGGCAACACTAAAGAGAAGAAACAATTCACTATGAATGAAAGTCAGCACATACAAAAATATAAAATAATTTAACAATGTTAAAAAGAAGATAAAATAAGTGTTTTAAATGATGAGAGACATACAAGAAGAAATTGAAAACTATTTTTAAAAAATCAACCATAAAAAATAGCAGATTTGCAAAGAAGCAAATAGTAGAACCAAGTGACTTTTAAAGTCATTGGATCTTCTGGTTCTGGTGGTGTATCAAATTAGATATTGTAAAGGGACCTCCCACTACAAAACAACTAAATCTACTGCAGTTGTACAGTAAGTAATTCTGTGGAGAAACCAGCTAATCCTCTACATAAAAGAGTACTGTGAGCCACAGAACGTGGTATACATCAGCAGAATAATAAAGCTATCTTTAGATTTATAGCTCCTCTTTTCCTAAAGAAAAGCAAAGAAGGGCCGGCCCATGGCTCACTTGGGAGAGTGTGGTGCTGACAACACCAAGGCCACGGGTTCAGATCCCTGTATAGGGATGGTCGGTTAGCTCACTTGGGAGAGTGCAGTGCTGACAACACCAAGTCAAGGGTTAAGATCCCCTTACCGGTCATCCTTAAAAAAAATAGAAAAGAAAAGAAAAGAGCAGAAAGCAAATCTTAATGTTAAAGGAGAAACATTCGTTGACAGGGAGAGTGGTCAAGCATAAAACATTTTCACGATATTGATTCATCTATTATAAGTGAAATATAAAATCAATTTTCAGAAAGAACTGCCATTCAAGTCACTTGCATATTTCCAGTCACCTAATGCTATGACAGCAATATCATAAGATGTCTCCACCTAAATTAAACTATCATAATGGTCTTTTAGGTGAGTGGTCCTCTAACAAGATCAGCACCTATCTCTGGCACAAGCTAAATGAAATGGCAAATGCAGTTGTCTGAAACATGTTATTTCATATACCCCATTTCTGAATAGTGTGTCTCCTGAAAGCTAACAAAATTTTAGACACTTAGCTTCTATTTTGGCAGCAGACAGTGAACTAGATTCAGGAAATAAACAAAATTGTCTACTTCTACATGTGCTAATGCTGCAAAATCCCATAAAATAAAACCTTTGCTGGCTAGAAAATTTCTAGAGTTTTCAAAGGTGGCACATTTGCTATGTTTTATAAAGCATCTCATGCATGAATAGACTAAAAAACATTTTATTCTTTTGATCACTTTCTACCCTCAATGTAAGATTATTTCATATAATAGCAAGGCTGGTCTAACAGTCACCTAAATGAAGAGTCTTTGTTTTTTATAGTTTTCCAGCCTCCTATTCCCTAAGTGTTTGCTATCTTGCTGATTCAACCAATCTACTATTACTCAGAATATGAAATGTTATTATTCAAAAGATTTCATGAAAACATTTTTCTATCATATAAACATTATCCAAGATTATCAATCATATACCATTAAATAAAATTTTGATTTTCTTTGGACCAAGAATTCTGTTAAAATTGAAGAATATTATTGCCTAGAATTATAATTGTAGAAATATCACTTCTGCTTAAAAAAACTACATGTCTTTGAAGTTAGTCAATTCCCCAAAACACCCCAGCACAAATTCTCGTATTATGATGTATGTTCTCATTCATACCTGCTAGAAAACAACTGAATGAGTGAATCTGACTAATAAGTTCACTGTTCAAACAATGCTGACACGTCAAAGATGCAGGCACCAATAAGCAAAGAGGATTGGTTTTCTCTATTCTGTATTAGTCCTTCATTCACTAAATCACTAAGTGATTAATGTTATAATTTCTATTTGATCATGATTAAGATTTCATTTGACTATACTTGCATAAGAAAGGCAAATTCTTCCAATGAAAGCAAGTTCCTGAGTAACTTGCTACTGCCAGTTATAATTCTACCTCATAGAGTGTCATCTATACCAATTTCTCCATCTGTAGCATATTACAACTAATGCTAACAATGATGATTTTGAATCATCAATAAAAGCTTAAATTACATTTATGATACATCTTTAAAGCACAGAAGTATATATTACAAAAAGGATTTCATCAAAATATAGCTAAAATAGTAGTTTAGGAAAGCAATTTGGTATAATGAAAGTAATACAGTTTCTAAAGCCAGCCTGACTTAGAAATTTTGGGTCCTTCATTATTTGGCACATCACCTTAACTTTTGGGGGTATTAATTTGCTTACCTGTAAAATGGGGGAAGTATCATCTACCTTTTAGGGTTACTGTGAGGATAAGACAGCACAGTATATGCTGTAAATAATCGAATAAATGGGAGTGCTTTACATATAATTAAAACAGCCCACTTTCTGGAGAATTCTATGTTATAATTACTCACTTCCTTGTGCTTCCATATTGCTTAGGTTTTTTTGGTAACTTAGGATACTGTGGTAAGAAGTAGAGCTGTGAGATCATTAGAATTCTGACTACTCTTATCAATTACTCCACTTGACTGGCTAATTTCATTTGAAAGAATAATATGTTTTTAAAAAGCCAAACCAAAAATTCATACTTAGTGGGTTTTTTTGGTTTTTTGTTTTTTAAAAAGCCTAGTCATGGGAGATATTTTTTCCTAAAATTTAGATTTTCAAATTTATAAGAGTACTCATTTAATTGTACACATATCATAATGTTACGTATTTAAAATTTCAAAGAAATTAATGCATAAAATGTCTACAAAAGTCAGAAAAAACTCATTTCTGTTTAATTTTTTACTTTTATGTAGACAAAAAAATTTCTAAAGTTTATAGTACTTAAATAGTCCTATTTGAATTTACACACTAACCTGGTAGAAATGCGACTAAAGACTGCATTGAAGTTGTTGCAGCTGAGAGAAAATAAAACCCCAGAGGCAGAATTCCGAAGTTCAGCTGCATGTTGGTTTCCTTCACGACAGGTGTGAAGAAAATGGCAAATTTCTGGGAGCAACTGTTTGACCAGCATGGTTTCATCTAATCTCATTGTGTCCTTTGGTTGCTAAAACAGAAATAACACAATAATTCTAACACTTTTTAAATTTTACCTGTAAACTTTTTTATTATGAAAAATTTCGAACATTCAGAAGAGCTGAAATAGAATAATGAACACCCATATACCCATCACCTAGATTCAAACTTTGTTAACATTTCACCATATTTGCCACATCTATCTATAGATAGTCTAATAAAGAGGATGGCTTCATCTTTCACCCCATAATTACAATTAAAGTCCAAGCCCCCATCCATTCTCACTCATCCCTCCACTCCTGCTTGCACCCTTGATCATCAAATGAGCTCTTCCCTTCCTGGTAATCCCCAGTTTGCTGTCATCTGTCTTAACATCCAGATAAATTCCTGGGTGGGCAATCACACCTGCCTTTGTGCAGACTGACCAAAACAGATATCACTTACCACAAATAATTTTGTTTGGGTTGAATCATTTCAAATAAGTTATAAACATAATACTTCATCCCTATGTACTTAGCATCTATTAAAAATAAGGACTTTCTCCAACATAACTTCAATACAATTAACATACCAAGAAAAAATAAACAATTCCCTTGCATCAACTAATACCCAATCTTTATTAAAATTTCACCACTGCTTACAAAATGTCTTTCATAGCTTTTTTATTCCACCAGAATCCAAAGAAGGTTCACAGATTGCAGTATGATTATGTTCCTTTCTTTTCTTCTAGAACAATCTCCTCTACATACCCCACATACATCACTTTTATTCCTTGGCCAATAATATCAGTGATTTGTAAGTTGCCTTACAGGGTGTTCCATATTCTTGATTTTATTATTGCCTAGTGGTGTAACTTAACTTGTTCTTCCAATTACTATATTTTCTGTAAGCTGAAATTTAAACCTAATGGTCTGATTAGATTCAGGTTAAACATTTTAAAAAATTCTTATCACATCAGGAGCACGTAATGCCAGGTGGTCCCATTAATGACACCAAGTTTGGTAACTTTGGTGTTTACATTGAGATCTCTACTTTGTAAATATCTATTTTACAATTAAGAAACAACCAACAGATAAGCAATCCTGCACATATGCTGTTCCACATCACTATTTCTCCTAATAATGGCTTTGGTATCCATCCATATATTGATAACAATTTTACTAAAACTGAGTAGGATGGCAAAGAACAAAAATTTGTATAACTGTGCTACACCAAATTTTGTAACTGCGATCCAAGTGCTTTCAAATACAAATACACTGAAATATATAGACAGTAAATAAACCGATTTCACAAAAACCTACAACATTCAAGTTACAATGCCTATTTCTTGTTTATATGCTAACCAAACAATATAGATGTTGAAATTAACTCCAATTAATAAAAATCAGAAAAGCATTACATCTTTTGAATAATAGTTATGCACAGGAACAAAAGTACTTCAGATCCTCAAATTCTAAAAAATTTTACTCATGATATTGGTAAGTATTGGTTCTTCTCTTTCATTTAGCTATTCCAACTACTTATACGATAAACATGTACTTGTAGCCTCAGTTCTTCTCAAATTGCCTCAACTTACTTTGATCTGAAAATGAAAATCAAGAGACATCCATAAAACTATTGAAGGCAATCCAAGAAAACACAATTGTTTGATAATATGAATAGCATTATTTTTTAAATTGCAAATTTAGTGAAAAAACTTATACGTTTTCAATAGTAGAGCAGGGCAAGTAATACGTATTTTATACATTATACATGTTATACTACGTCCACTTATTTGTATTTCAGTTAGGCTATCTCCAAAGAGTATTAAATCAAACAGGGGCCAATAATATCAGTGATCATTCTCCAAAATACATTTACCATTACCACTCAATTACAAATGTTTATGGAGGAAAACTGTGGAACTGAGAGAGGCAATAAGTAACCCCACCCCCATTCAATCATGGGTGTGACTGTTACACTGGTAATTTACAATCAAAGTAAAAAGGCCACCACAAAGAATTGATTCAGAAGAAGTTTAAAAATTGCCCACCTCCCCAGTTCCATCATCCTATGTGAGCCCTTTTGCTCTTTCACTCCATTTTACAAATGAACAACAGCATATCACAAATTAACAGAAAGCACCAGCCTGAAACAATTAGCTCACCCTGAATTTAAGTAGAAAACTTATAAACACTGTCCAAGATTTTGGAATATGGCCAATGACCAATAAAATAATTTTAAAATTATGCTTAGATTTTCGTGGCCTATAGGCTTCCATAAGGATACATAGTTGTGTGAATATAATTATTTTTCCAATTCCATACTCATTCCTTCCCCAAACACTTCTGAACATTCCTTCTCTTCTCAACCACACAATCAGTCCTCATATATGAATGTCCCTTCCATGTAGATTCACAATAGAGAACTAACTGTAACATATATGGAAGAGAGAAGCAATTCTGAATAAAAGTAAAATTCTGAATTCTATGCCAAAGGAAGAAAGAATGTAAGAAATAAGTTAACTCCAATACATATGGAATAGACAGATCTTTAAAATGGAGGTATTTAATTTATATATTTATATAAATTCCTACCATGTTCCAGGAAGAATTAATACTAGTGAAATACAGAAACACTTTGCTTTATACAACAGAAGTATTCGCGAAAAGTTCAAATTAGGTCATCACTGAAATACATTGAGATAACAATTTAGAGCAAAGCTGAGAAAAGAATTGTTTAGTACTCAACTACTCCTCCACACTCCTACTGTCTATGTTCATATTTACATAAAATAAGTGTTCTTAAGGTAATATCTATCATTAATGGAATAAGTTTAATTAATTTTTAAGTTTTCTTTTGTTTAGATTTGAAAGGTAGAATATTAAAACCATATTCATACAGGAGGAAAGTGAAGATTACTCTTGGTCTTCTGAATCATATTCTTTCACAGCTATGCAATGCCACAGGTGTAACAATATCTGAGAAATTAATTAAATCAAATAGTGATTTCATCATAAAATCTTTTCCAAAAAACCTGAGAGGCAGATATGTGGCTCAAACTTAACACTGCATAAGTAAACTTAATTATCTATTTAATTTATAAGAGATGAGAGAGTAATTTTCTCTTGAAAAATTGTCTGTGCTACCAGGTCAGCTGTATTAACAAAATTCTCTTTGTCCATACCTATATTTTGGTACATCACATCATTCTCAAGACTGAATTCACAAAACTTGCCTACTTAAGAAAAGATTTACTTACCCCAGCAAGACATTTTTCCAGTGTATCCAATATAATCAACTGAGAGAGATATAAATTTTTTTCAGCAGCTTCTCCAAATATTCTCTAAAAGACATTCAGAACATAAAAGTTGGTTATCACTCTCCATGACAAATCAGCACACAACTGAAAAGTAAAGAACTAAGGATCAAGAAAATCAAAAGTATTCCATTTTATCTCCCAAATAATATATTTAAATTTATTATTTCTGATTTTATCCTAATTCTCACACAAAATAAATTATCAGGCAAACAGAAATGCTGATATTTATTAAAGTCTGCAATTAGCCTTGTAACAGCAAAAGATATTGTTTTGGTATGTGCTTTAAAAATATGTAGGATTCAGATACACATACAGATCTGCACCAGTGTCTTGAATTCAGCATTTACCCATATTCTTATGCCACAAAATAATCCAAGTCTTAATTCGTAAAACAAATTGTTGTAGCACCAATTACAGTGCATTTTTTTTTTTTTTTTTTGGCCGCTGAGGGGATCACAACCCTCGGCTCGGTGTGATCTGCACCACACTCAGCCAGTGAGTGCAACAGCCATCCCTATATAGGATCCAAACCCGCAGCCTTGGCACTACCAGCGCCGCACTCTCCTGAGTGAGCCACGGGGCTGGCCCTACAGTGCATTTTAAGCATTCACTTTTTATTGCATACTGCACTGTTTACTAACAAGAGACTATGGTTTCCACAATTTAATTTATTCAGTAAGCACTAAACAAGTGACAATATCACAATACTGTTTTGAAAAGAGGGTCCCAAATACTAAAATATTTCAGTCTAACTGGGAACATGGCCACATGTATTCATAAGTGCAAAATCCTATCACTGTGACCCACATATTGTGCAACAGAAGAGCTACACAAAATATTAAATGTATTTCTGTAAAACACTTTACATATTTATGAAAAGCCCTGCTTTTTTGGAAAAATCTTAATTTTTTTCCATAAAGAAAAAAATCTCTGGGCCGGCCCGGCGGCGCACTGCGCTAGTGCACCGCTTGGGAAGTGCGGAGGCGCTCCCGCCGAGGGTTCGGATCCCACATACAGACCGGTTCCCGCTCACTGGCTGAGTGAGGCGCGGGGGCAACACCAAGGGTTGCGATCCCGTTGCCGGTCCCAGTCCGGTACGGGGGCGACACTGAGGGTTGCGATCCATTGCCGGACACGGAAAAAGACAAAAAAAAAAAAAGAAAAAAATCTCTTTGTAAGGCAAACGATTGCCCACACCTCCACTTTATCTGTTTTGTAAATGTGGGGTATTATCTAAGCAACATTCTTAAAAGGAAACACACCAAAGATGATGTGACTATAAAAATGAAACTGATCTTCACAATCTACACAGGAGTCATTTCACAGATCAATACAAACAAAACAAATGGAGGTTATAAGAGCTAAAGACAAGCAGAGAGTTTGGAGTTAATCAAGAAAAATCCAGATCAGTTGCTTTGCACTGAGAATGAAGGAGATGTTATATAGGAACTGATAGAGAGGAAAGGATCACCTGAAAGAGGCAAGAGACAGTATATGTTCAAAAGTACAGAGAGAGAACAGTTGGGGTATCTTGAAGTCTAGGGAATAAAGAGATTTTATAAAATGGGAAAAAAGAAATCATGAGTTTTAACAGTGGAATCACTTGATGAAATTATTTGAGGAAAACTTTCAACAACAGGTTGTCTACTACAGAATCTGTCACATCATGGGGGAAGAAAAAAACATTATCTTCATAAATATCAATCCCGCATTTTAGGACTACACGGTCATATTTTATTTATCATCTACTTAGGACTGGCAAAATCTGATATGTAAATTCAAATAAGAACCTAAAGAAAAGCATATAATAGATTACTATGAGCAATTCACACAAAAGCTATATGAAACCCTAATTCCAGAAAAATACTGGAAAAGGATATAGGGTCATGAATAAGGGAAGTTTCTAAGGGAAAGAATCAAAAACTAAAATGGAAATTAAAAAGTTACCTGTGCACATCCACAAAATAAGACAAATGGTTATATCCAAAGTACACAGAAAATTATTTCCCATACTTCAAAAACATGCAGCTCCAAACTTTAAAATAAAAAACAAAACAAAGCAAATTCATCAAAAAAAAAAAACCAGTAACCCAAATACTCACCATATTGTTAACATTCTTTAAGATAGTAGTGAGGCCGCTTATAACCAAAGAAAACTTGTATTTGGAAATATTGATCAGACATTCCTTGTTGTGTTCAGTACTAACTTTGGTATGTGTGTTCTGCTGTCCTGTTTTTATTGGAAGCTGAGGGGGGAAAATACATGTTAAGAGCTTACCCTTGAAAATGACTAAAAATAAATTTTTGTTTCTCATTGAATATCATGACATTTTAGGAAAATTTTATCAACCACAGTTACTTATATTTGTATTTCTATCTCCAATTTTCAATATATAACAGCAAATCTTAAATTATTTGGAAATTTCAATTTTTGCAGTTTTCTTTCTGGAAGTCATAAATCGCTATATACAAAATCAAATCCTTTAGCCAGCACTATATAAGAGAGAATGATGACTCACAGAAATACAGTTATTTCCTCATTGCTGAAAATTCTTTCAGATAATGTCTGCAATAAAATGCACACAACCCTCCCATTATACACTGAACTCAAACATTAAAAGAAAAACAGATCAAGAAAATTTATTCCCCAGATAGCTAGTCAATAACAGCAAATATTACTGCTGATTGTGCAGAAATAAGAACAAACAGTAAAACCTGGAATAAACACAGTAAGACTGACTCAGGTAAGATAACCACCCTTGGCTACACAATTGGGGGAATAACAAGACAACAAATAGATAAATCTTGTGGGAAAAAATATCCTTTGAGGGCATCACATTTTCATTTATCTGAGAATGAATTAAGTCGCACTGCCTAGAAGTTCATCTCTACTCTGTTCAAAAGTAGCACTTGGTATTTAAAGCATCATGAATATATTCACTGTTTAATATTAGACCCTACTAATGATAAGATAATCCTGGTGAAGTCCATCTGTGAAAAACAAAACAAATAAACCTTAGTCCAACTTTCTCATTTTTAAAATGGTGCAACTAAGCTGGAAAGAGACCAAACGACATGCCCAAGTTTGCTAAGTCAGTTAATAACAGATGATTAATTTGAAAATAAAGAAATACTAAATAAAAGTGGAGAGGGTTTTTTCAGGGCATTGAAGGGGGCACAGAACAGAAGCTACAGAATTACACAATGTTAATTATAAAGATATGGAGGGAAAAGAATCTGAAAGGCCAAAAAAGGAGATTTTAGAAGATGATAGTGGCTGCAACGCAGCTTGTGACTCTACCCAAGCCCCCCAACAAAATAGCAGGGAAAGTAGAATAGCAAAACCACAAACTCACATGAGGCCAACATCTACATCAAAATTAGGGTACAAGGCCCCCCACAAAGCCCCCAAAATGAGCAAGTAGGAACGAACCACTTACAGTTACAAAATTGGTGTGGTACAAGCATCTATGCAAAAGAAAGCAGAGGGAGAAAAAATGTCTGATGGATCTGACACATCTGACAAGAGGAGAATCCCAAAATTGTATTACAACTTCAATGAAAAGCAAAGCAGGCCAATTCAGGTACATTAGCCAAAATAGAGTGGGGGGTTTGCACACTGCAATTTGCAGATGAGTGCAAAGTGTCTATAAAGTCTGAAGAGAATGAAACAAACTCTAAACCATCACTGGTTAATAGAATTTTCTGTGGTAATGATATTATTCTATATCAGAAATGTCCCATACAGTAGCCACTAGCCACATGTGGCTTTTAAGCACTTGTAAACATGGCTAGTGCAGATGAGAAACCAAATGTTTGATTTTATTTAACTTGCTTAAAATTTAACTTTAAGTAGCCACACATGTAGCTATTACCCCCTATTGGACAGCACTAACCAGCTGAAGAAGCACCCTTCCAAGATGAAGTCCACACAAGAAGAAACTGCTGAGATTAAACTCTAAAGTGACAACAGTGAAAAAACGGAGCAAAGGAAAAAGGTCCAGACAAGGGTGAAAAAGAGGAAGAAGGCCAAGAAATCTGTGAAAGAATGAGACCATTTTGTTAATTTCTTGAGATATTTTTTTAATTTCTTGAAAACAACAGAAGAGTGAACTATAGAACCAGGAAGCTACAAAGCTATCCTGGCCTACACTTCCCTCCTACAAATTCAGAAAAACTAATTTTACATAAAAATGAGCAACAGAAGAGAACTGCAGTCAAATCATATGTAAAGTTATTATAAGATAAAAGAAGAAGAGACAGAAAAACATAAGAGTCAGAATAACAGAAAATGAAAACATGACATAGACATGTCTACCAACAGACTAAAAACTATAAGTTATTATTTCAAAATGAGCCAAGAGAAATTAAGAAAATGACAAAGGATAGGAAATAACAAATTAGAATTTCAAATAGAAATAAGTTGATATAACTCAGAAAAGAATTAGGAAAAAAAGGAAAAATCTCGTTCCAGAAATGAAGACTAACCAGAAGATACACAACAGTGAATTAACAGAAAAGATAATGCTTTAAGGAAAATAAGAAAGTAAAAGAGGAGGAAAGTTATAAAATAAAAAAGAATTGAAAAATGAAATAATGAGGATTTGCAATAAAGTGACAAAGAAAATATGCAAAGAAGAATCACATTAAGTATTAACAGGAGTCACCAAAGAAAGAAACCAAACCAAGGGAACAGAATGAATATTAGAAACTAGAATTCAAGAAAATTTTGCTGAAAACTGTCTTTTAAATTAAAAAAACAAACTTGAAACTATATACTTAAAGGGCATACTGCACACCTGGAAAAACTGACCCAGAATGACCAACACCAGAATATATTTTAGTAATAGTACTAAACTTGTGTAAACAAGAATAATAATCCTTTGAACATCCAGGCAGAAAGAGGAAGCACTTATACAAGAAACAAAAGTTAGACTGTCATCAGACTTTGACAAAACTTTATGTCAGAATATAAGAGAGTAACAAAAATTCAAAATACTCAAAGAGGAAAATGTAAATCTACGACTTTATATCCAGCCAAACTGACTCCCAAGTATAATGGTGACAATCAAACAGTTCTGAACTGTAAGAACCCACGAAATACTGTTCCCTTGACCTTTTCCTGAGGGATCTACTATAGAATATGCTTCATCTAAACAAAATAACTGAAGAGACATCCACATTAATAGGAATCATTAAATATATATTTAGTAAAAGAACTGAGAATGCTGGTAATAAGGGAGAAAGCATATCATATAATTGCTATATGTACAGTCATGTGCCAGATAAGACATTTCAGCAACGATAGACTGCACATACCACAGTGGTCCCATAAGATTATGATGGAGCTGAAAAACTCATATTGCCTAGTGACATCATAGCAATTGTGTTACAATTGCCTACAGTATTCAGTACAATAACATGCAGTATAGGTTTGTAGCCTAGGAGAAATAGGCTACATCATATAGCCTAGGTGCGTAAATAGGCTATACCATCTACGTTTATATAAATAACACTCTATGATGTTCACATAACAACGAAATTGCCTAATGACACATTTCTTAGAATGTGTTCTTGTCAGTAAGCAGTGCATGAGTATACTTGATAATGTAGATACAATTATCAAAAATGTAGTGAGAGCACATAAAAAGAATATACTTCATGATTGTCTTGTTATTAACTGAAAATAAAAGGGTATTATTTCATACCAAATGCTGGGAAAGAAAGAGATGAAGAGAGGTGGTTACTAGCTCATTTCAATATTGCTCATAACAGAAAACCAATATATAACACACATACCTCAAAAGAGAAAATTAGAATACTATATAAAGGTATCAATATAATGGTTACCAAAAAATCAAAAATACAAATTGTGCTGGTGTGTGCTGTGCCAACTTTGTTAAGCTGGAAACCACCTTCCCAGAATCCCATTTACTGTATGGTTCTCGGTTGAAGTTAACCTAAAAAGAAATTTGTACAAGACTTGTTTGAAATGAAGAAGCACAACTATTATTCTCTGAAGGTTTTCATAGTCACCCAGCAAGAGAAGTGCCCAGAGAGTTCCAGCTTTTACTCTCTCTCTCTTCTGCTCTGTGTCCAGCTCTTTCTCCTGACTAGTGCTCACCTTGCTGACCAACAGCAGCCTAGCCCCACCACCAGATGCTTGGATGCAAATCTACAGAAGTGATGGCTACATGTGGCAAGAGCTTCCCATAGGGATCCCTTCAACCTCCTCCTTCACAATCCTACTTCAGTGGCTGGACATATTTAGCTTCTCAGATTTCCCTAAGAGCTCCGACTCGTCTGCCCTTTGCCACTGATTTAAGGGATCTGGTTAGTGTCTCCTTCTCTGATAATCCAACTCCCCCTTCCAGATCTTCACCTTGCCAGTCCTCTCAAAATTGTATACAGTTGGGCCAGCCTGTGGCTCACTCGGGAGAGTGCAGTGCTGATAACACCAAGGCCATGGGTTCGGATCCTATATAGGGATGGCCGGTTTGCTTACTGGCTGAGCATGGTGCTGACAACACCAAGCCAAGGGTTAAGATTCCCTTTACTGGTCATCTTTAAAAAAAAAAAAAAAAAATTGTATATAGTCTATTTCCATAATAAATTCCTTATCCCATTATACAATCTGCTTCCATGACTAAATCCTAACTGATACACAAACCACTCTAAATACCAAAATATATGCTGACCACACAATGACACTTAAATAAAAGACTTATATAAATATAAATGTAATATAAAACAATTTAACAAAAATGAGTCCAATTTCGTCAAACTATGGGGTAGTTTCCAGAATATATCTTTAAGTTAAAAAAAAAAAAAAAAAACCAAGGTAGAGAAAGTATAAACAGTATGCTACCATTAATTTGGAGAAGGGGGAGGAGATAGAAATATATCTTTTTATATTAAGAAACAAAACAAAGCAGCAGAAGCATAAAATGTAAAATAAGCAAATAACTAAGTGGTTACCTTCAGGGATTGAAAGGAAATAAAGTAGAGGTGGAAAGGATAGAATCCATATTCCTTGTGTTTTGTACATTTCATTTTAGAACTATGTAATTTACATAGACATAAAATTAAGTCAAAACTTTAAAAAGCAAATCTAGAAATCAGGAATAAATATACGAACTGACATTGGTATCCTGTTCTTTAATGGCACAATCACAAAGAGAAGAACTATTCTAAGTGATTTTAAATTACATTAAGTTGACCATACATTCCTAGTGGAATATACTCT